GAATAAAAATAACGAGACTACTGCTGCAACCACTGATTCAAAGAGATATATAATAGGTAGGGAGATATGATAAATCCACATGTAAAGTTATAAAAACAGTTAAACTAACCTCTTGTGTTAGAAGTCAGAATAACGATTATCTGTTTGGAAGAAAGAGATGAGTGATTGGAGAAGGTGTACAAGTAGGTCTTCTGTGGCACTGCTATTCCTGCAACAGTTAGAAACACTCATTTGAAGGCTAAGAGAAGTGTAGAAGCCAAATCTATAAGATGAACTACTTAGTGGTATCCTGAGAAACATAGTGTCATCGTTAAAATGCTGGACTCTGCAGCCAGCCTACCAAAGTGTAAAAGCCCAGCCCTACCACTTGCTGCTTAAATATCTTTGGATAACTTACATCTGAGTGCTTCGGTTTCTTATCTGTGAAATGGGGTAACATTATCTATCCTAGGGGATTGATATGGAAATTAAATAAATTAATGCTTTTAAAACACATAGAATAGTGCTTGAATATTTAACATGTTTTAATATATATTTTAAAATAAATATTTAATATATATTTATATATAACATGTATTTATTATGTATGCATTTATTAAATATAGTATATATTTATGAAATAAATAATATGTTGGAAAACCAAAAAATTTGAACTGTGGAATTTTAAGATTTCACATTTAGAATTATTTTAGTTTTTTCCATTTATACTAAGTCTGTACAAACTAGTGAGTAGTACATGGATGCATACACTAAAGCATTAAGCAGTACATATGCACAAATGTGTACATGATAGCACATTCTGAATCAATTAAATGCAGCTTAATAACTATTAGTAGTGCTTAAAATGTGATCTAACAGACACTTGCAATTATTGTAATTTTAAAAAGTTAAAGATTATCTATAAAGAGACATTGATAACATACTGTCAAACCATAGTTGTCTTTCTAGCAATATGAAACTATACTGGAAAGCAGTTTCTAATTATCATTCATATGTTTAGATATCAACACATGATTTTACTTAATATGTCATTAAAAATATATGGCATGTAAGAAAAACCTGCTAGCATTGAAAAGTGACTAGCCTTTATATCTCCAAAACCTATGCAAATTAGTACCAAATTATATAAAATTATTTTTATAGGATTTGGGACAAAAGACTGCCTTCCCACAGCGTTGATTCTCAAGATTAGAATCATTATTTTATGCTGAACACTCATTTGTCTGCTTTCAAAAATAAAGTCCCATCATAGTCACTTTCCTCTGAACCATAATCTTGATGTATATTCATGAGTTCTAAGACCAAGGACTCAGCAGGACATCTCTTCAATTTCAAACCCAGTGGCTCTCTATTTGATCTCGCTCTATCCCAAGGGAAGTTTATCTGATGGCATTAATTTCATAAACCAAGAAAGTCCATAAAATTCACTGGCATTATCACCCCCCAAGAATAGGCCCATTAATCATTTTCTGCTGTTAGATCAATTTAGAAAATACTAAAAATTGGTTAACTGATTTTTCTGAGTTTTAGCAGTTAAAATTAAATAGAGCCCTAGCCTGTGTGGCTCACTTGGTTTAGCATCGTCTCATGCACTGATAGGTCTCTGGTTTGATTCCTGGTCAGGGCACATTCCTGGGTTGTGGGCTCGATTCCCAGTAGGGGGCGTGCCAGAGGCAGATGATAAATGTTTCTTTCTGCCTTCCTCTTTCTCTAAAATCAATAGAAACATATTTTTTAAATAAATAAAAATTAAATAGAAATAGTAGTTCAAATATGTTCTTTCTTCCTTTTCTTTTATTAAGAAATAGATTTTAGTCTCAGCATCCTATCTTTAAACTGTAAATAATATATAGATATATTTCTAATCTAATGCACTTCTTGGAATGTTGTAAAGGTATGGATTTTAAAGTAGAGTGATGTCAGATTGTCTTAATAATTATATAATAGCTATTAAGTATTTTTTTCTTCTTTTAGCATTAATATCTAAGTTGTAGATATCAATGTTAAAGCAGAAGGAACTGGAGAGGAATTGGGACTCTGTGAGTTGAGGTTGCACATGTCCTGTAATCTCTACAGCCCACACCTACTCTCCTGACTGCACAGTATCATGATCCATTCCACCCATGCTCAAGACTTTCCAGTGTTGCTTAAAAATATATTCAGTAGTCTTTCAGTTTTACTTTGTAAGATATAGAAGACTTTTTTCTGGGAGCTTATTTCGATTTAAAGAATGTCAAAAAGCATTGAGGAAATGTAAAATTAAAAATGAAGTGTGTACCTACTTTTCCAGGTAGTTTGATCAGTTTCATGTAGCTCTTGTAAGGGAGCATTCGGAGCCTCTGTCCTAAGGATTCATGATTCTACCTAGAAAATAGGCTCTTGGCTTTTGGCAGCTTGATATTTTGTTATCCTTTATACAGGTGGGAAAGAGCAGGCTGATTGAAGAGATTTATTATAATGTAGTTACAGCTCCTTGATCCTGTCCAATGGGGAAAGTGAAGAAGAATCTGCTAAAAATAGGTAAGCAGAATGCTGGATAAACAAATGACATACCCTTTCTTGTTTGGGTTTCTTTCCTAAAAGAGCCTGTGAGAACTTTTCTTTCAGAATAGGACCTGCTAATTAACTAGCACATGTGAAATGTATGTGCGTTTTGAAAATAAAAACTGGCATCTGTTTCATGTATGCCACATAAATAGAACTAAGACTTGGTGGCAAGACACATTCCTGTATATGAATTATTATTTCATAGCTGTTTATCCCTTCCAAGTTAGCTGAGAGGAAAACAATTAATATACAAACTCTGTCTCCTAAATTACTCCCTTTGAAATTGAAAGATGGGTTTTGGAGTTGAAGACATAAGAGAGCAGATGTAGAAACTGAGATTTTGGCAGCCTCTGTCAGAAACTAACGAGCTTTGGGAAAATCCAGCTGATACAGAGTTTGGGTGGATTACCGTCAAAACTATAGGGTGTCTTAACACCGACGGTGTGAACTGGCTTCAAGGTGGCACATAGAAACTGACCAGAGATAATCTTTCCAAATTACTTACAGAATTATTCAACATGACAAAAAAACCCCACAACTATCCACTGTAGTATTATTCAGTATAGCAAGAATTAACTCTTGATATATTAAATAATATATCAATATATAGTAATATATACGCTACACAGACTCTTTTGAAACAGGAGCAAAAGTTCACAGTACTTTAAACTCTTGGTGGCTGCCTTCCATGGTCCGTTAGTCACCATAAAGCTAGAGGTGGCCTTGCATGGCGCCAAGCCTGTGGATAAAGTCTAGTTCAGGGGCTCTCAGGGGGAGCCCCGAGCCCCCAGCGAGGTGTGGGAAGAGCAGAGGGATGGTGTGAGCCCTGTCGGAGGCGACAGTGCAGCACCAGGGAAGCTCGGGTTTCTTTGCCCTGTAGTGAGAGCTCCCTTTTCGTGATGGATCCCTAGTGGTTTTGCTGTTCACGTCCTTGCTTTGCTTGGCTGTACACTAGCTAATTTCAGTGTGTTCAGTGCTTCAGCCTGTGTTTTAGTATGTTTCGGTGTGAAAGAATAATTACTGGGTGTTTGACTCTGCTGTTGCCACATATGTGGCTATAGGTTTGACAGGATATACGAATTTGCCGATCTTTATATGTTGATGCTGATAAGATGCTGTCATGGGACTTCAAGCCAGAATTTCATACGTCAACATTTTCCATTTACTCAGTCCTGTCGTGGCAATGTGTGTGTTTCGAAGGGTGTGAAATAAAAGTGCGGGTGGGAGATGTAAACTAAAGTGAACAGGAATCCCTTTACCAGCGTGGTAGCCCCCAAGCATATCGGGCCTTTCCAGACCACCTCCGCACCCTCGCAATTCATGGGTCTAATTCAGTATTTCCCGTAAAATCTGACCTCACTGTAGGCTCTACCTTTGGGTCCAGTAGATCCAGCTTGATGACACACCCTGCTGAACCTTCAGTAACTGCCCGTGACGCTGTAGGATAAAGCTAAACCTCTGACCATAGTCTAAAAGATCCTACACAGATTTACCCGGCCAACAAACACTCACTGTTGTCTAGGAAACACTCAAGTTTCCTTTCTCTTCTCTAAACTTTTCCAAGCTTCTCCTGTTTCAAAGCCTTTGCCGTGCTCGTCCCTCTGCTTGCTGAGCTCCACCTCACTATTCCTTTCTGTAACTGAAATACAGTCTTTATTTGGCAGCATCTAAGGAGTAGAGCTGTCAGATGTGAAGTGAGGCATGGTTAAAAAGAAAAGTGGCAATCACCTGCACTGATGATAGCATTTCAATTTGTTTGGAATGCTTTATGACACCTTGTCATATGCATGTAGGAAAGGTCTAAATGTCCTTCCCATTTTTTAATGAAAAAAGTGAAGGGATGTTAAATTATTTTCTATGTGGAACGTTAAAATTGCCAAAAGCAAATTTGGCCTGAATTTGACTAATTATATAAATTAATTTAGAAATCTCTATGAAGTACATTCTGTATTCTGAAATCTCCAGTGAGTTCTACTTAGAACCTTAAAGTCTATTTACAGAGGCCAATTATTCACAAGCTCAGATCTTGTAAATTCCTTCTTACAGTCCATAAACATTTATTGAGCAACTACTATGTTAAAAGCTAGCATACCACATTTCCAATTATTATGTAGATTCTAAAGAAACATGACCAAAAGGAACCCACTGGGAAAAATCTGTGAAGATATTTCTCTTTCTTTCAAACACTACCAGAGAATGTATTACTCATTACTGTGCTAGGCACTAAGAATATAGAGCCCCTCATTTAAGAAGTTCGCACTCTACTCGGCAGGCCCGGGGTCTGAAAGCCTTGGCAGAAGTGCTGGTCCCAGGGAGGCAGCAACTACAGTCAGAGGAAGGAGGTGCTGGGCGCCCTGGCCCTCTGAAGCTGCACACTGCGGCCTCAGCTCAGCTCCAAATGAACTCCATGCCTGGCACTGCCAGCCTCATCGTGGACACTGACAGTGAGTTGCTCATCTCCTTCGATGAACTCTGGGAAAAGCGCTTGGTCCTGCTTCGAGATGGAATGACATAGCATTTTTGAGGAGCATTGATCAGTTTGCTAATTTATGCTACATCAGACTGTGGAGCATATTCAGGTGGGCAAAAAATACGATGATATTCCTCAAGAGATTTTTGTGACCGGCGGGCGGAGAAAATGTGGTTCTACTGGGAGAAATAGACTTGGGAAAAGAGAGTGACACACCCCTCCAGCTAGTGCCCGTTGGAGAAATCCTAGGAGAACAAATCCTAGGACAGCAGACCGAACTGGAAGCCCAGAAGCTGCAAAGTCAGGCTCTTAAAAGATCCAGGCCTCTCCATTCCTCGAGGTCTCTCCACTTCTCCGGCAGATCTTCCTGATGAGTATTAACTCTTTTGCTCAGAGGCTATGCTCTTGGGGATAAGGGCTGTACTGAATGAAAGTGACATTCTGGTCACCTTACACGTTTGACCGGAGACTGTAGAATTCTGAAAAGTTCATTTTTTTTTTTTAATCCTTTCACATATGCAACATGAAGAAATCACGTGGCTCTTTTTTCCTTTTTAATAACAAAATCATTGCTTAAAAAAAGAGTGGAAGGGCTCCTTCCATACATCACTATGGAGCCACCAGCTACTTCTCTGTATTGCTCTTCTCATTCCAAATTAGAGTTTACAGGGAAAAGTCTCCATTTGCTTGTAAATAAAATATGAATCTCAAAAAAAAGTTCATATTCTTTGGTAGATATAGACTTTAAAAAGTTTAATATGTTATTATCATAAGTACAATAAACATGTTAAATGTATACAAGTCAGTTGATAGTGAGAGGTGGCAGTGTGTCATTAAGGCGGTTCTCCTGGAGTCTCTGATAGTCTTTGAGTTTTGAAAAGAGAAGGAACATGTATTATGAACATAGAGGGTTCGAGTCTCAATCAGGGCACAAGCCCGGGTTTCAGGTTCGATCCCCAGCAGGGGATGTGCAAGAGGCAGCCTATCAATGACTCTCTCTCATCGTTGATGTTTCTATCCCTCACCCCCTCTCCCTTCCTCTCCCTGAAATCAATAAAAATACATTTCTTTAAAAATAGAGAGAAGGAAGGGAATACATGAGTGAACCAGGACTCAGGGAGAAGTTTGTAGGTGATTTAGAAGGAGTATTGTATGTGAGGAAAATAAATAACGACAGAAAGGTGGGAGTTTTAAAAGTATTTTTCTTCTTAGACTATTATTCATCTTTATGGGTTCGAGAACATAACTATCCCAAAGTAATGTAGAGTAAAGTAATGGGTCCTCAATCCATCATTTCGAGTTCTGGGACTAAACCATATAGGACACAGAAAAGTAAGTAGACATTCACTGGGAAGACAGAGAGAGATACATCCCAATAGAGGAAACCGGAATGGACAAAGGTATAAACACATGAAATAGTACAGGTTCTTGAGCTGACTCTAAAATGCTTGGTACTGAATATTGTGCAGAGGGAAAGGGAATATATCAGAATAGAGATGTTAGTATATGAAGCTTTGTCCATGGGATGTACAACTGGAATATGGAAATTTTCTAATCAGTCAATTGGTTCATATTTCAATAACTGTTTTGAGTTACTGTTTGCATTAAATTACCAAACTGGACAGCTAATTGATTTCATTTCTTAATTGACACAATTTGATTACTCATTGCTTATACAGTACAGTCACTTGTAGAAAAATGCTGACATGAAATTAGACTAGATTGATCTGTCTAGATCATTTGCAGTATCTTTTGGCATTGTCTATCTTTTCCCCTTGTGTTTCAACTTTATTTATTTTATAGTTATAGTTATAGTCTAGCAAAATTGTGTTGATATAAGCATCACTTCATCTCTATGAAAGTTACTGTATTGTCTCTGGGCTGTGTTGTCACTGTCCTATGGCCAAAGGTGGATTTTAGGCGAAATCAAGACTAAGCTTAGGGCCTATCACTTACATGGGCCCATTCCATATGAATCTAATTTTTGACTTGTAATCTTGTCTTATTTTCTTAAATAGAGATCCCAAAGTTGTGTAATATTCGGGCCTCATAAAAGCCGGATCTACCCCTGCAGTTGTCTCAGATACAAATTATGTGGCACAAGTTGAAATAGCTACCAACAGTACTTTAATCAGTTCTTGAAGCTACGTCATAGGGTCTTATTATTACTATTTGGTAGACTCCTAAAATTCGATGTGATTCTGACCAAGATGTTAAAATGCAAATTATTTATTGGGAGTTTGCTCTCCAAAAAGAAGTACATAAATGTGATTATAAAGTGACTCTAAAATTTTTGAATTTCCAATTCACATATAATTACTAAATGATTGAAGATTTTATCTCCTCATAATAACAAATAAAGATATATGCTGTGCATTATAAATATCACATCGGATTTTATATATCTTCTTACTAAACAGCTGTATTATTTTGCTGGGGCTACCATGGTAAAGTACCTCAAGTCGATGACTCAAACAGAAATGGGTTGTATCGCAGCTCCGGGGACTAGAAGTCTGAGAGGTGGCAGGGTTGGTTCCTTCTGAGTGCTTTTAAGGATAATCTGTTCCATGCCTGTCTTCTAGCTTCTGGGGGTTCGCTGGCACCTCTGTTGTTCCTTGGCTTTTGCGGCATCACCCTGATCTCTGCCACCATCTTCACATGGCGTTCTCCCAGAGTGTGTGTCCAAATTTCCCCATTTTACAAGCACACCAGTTATATTGGATTAAGGGCCCACCTACTGCACTGTGGCCTCCTCTTAACTACTTACATGAACAACCTTATTTCCAAAAAAAGTCACATTCTGAGGTACTGGCAGTTAGGACTTCAGCATATGAATTTGGGGGGAACTCAGTTCCCCCCATAACAACTAATGAGAGTAAACGGATAGGAAAGGACCTTATGACACGCATGTACTTGCCTTGCTTCTGTTGTGGACAGAGCTTAGGATTCACGTTAGCAGCTCTAGGTATTTATCTTGAGTAGGCACAGCCAGGGTTAGAGAGCTAAAAGTTCTGAGCACTTTTTAATGTCAGTGGACATAGATATAAGTACTTACTATTGTTATGGTCTGGAGTTCAGAAAACGTCATATCTTGCCCACTAGGTTGTGGCCTCAAGTCATATTTCAGTTCTGGGGCCTGCAGCTTTACACAAAGAACTGATGTTGACAGATATGAAACATAATGCTCCGTGTCCTACTAAACCATGACAGCTTTGGGGGTTTCTCCTTTAAAGGGGGAATGCTGTTGACAGTTTTTAGTTTCTGTCAACTGTTTTAGGGTCTTGGTATCTTATGCAGCTGTTTTAGGGTCTTGCATTCTATGCAAAAGTCTACTCCCTCATTTAAAAATATAGGTACCCCATTCAAAACAAAATGAAAAATTCCTTCATCTATACCTTTCACTAAGATAATTCGGCTTCCTTAACTATTTGAGCAAAGTTAAGCAATTTATTTCATCACCTACAATCTATATTTAATTTTAATTGATGAAATGAAGTCATTTAATCATTTTTAAAAAAGGAAATTAAGGAAGAAGAGGCAAAGAAGAAAGAGAAAAAAGAGAAATGAGATGACCAAATGTGGGGGGAAAAAAGAAGGAAAGACTTTCTTCTGGATTTTCAAAAAGCCTCTCTTAACTAAGTGGTGTTGTTCCGTAAATAATTCTGTCTGCAGAAGATAAAAGGAGCTGATTGGCCAATTACTTTCAAACTGTTTGATCAAATCCATGTTTTCTTTAATTATTCAAGCTTCAGGAGTCATCAAAGCATCCTAATGCACAACTCAAAGGAGAAGCGAAAGCCAAGACACTGGCAAATGCTTTTCATGTTTCAGATTTCTCCTGCTTATGAGCATATGCGATTCTGAATGTTGGGCTGATTTAAACCTTGTAACACGGGTGTTAGGCTGGAGAGGAGGAACACACGAGGCCAGATGAGCAGGTAACGGCAATTTTATTAAGGCATCTGACTACAGATGGGCTGAGCTCCAGTGGCATCAGCCCGAAGTGACTGGCGAGCAAGTCTCTATAGGGTGTAGGGAGGGAACTTTTCGGTGGGCTCGAGACTTTTCTGAGTGGGGGTGGAGGGTTACCAAGCATAACAAACAGGATGTTGTTTGAGTTCATCTTAAAGTTGCTTTCGGATCAGGGGAGGGGTGAGCCCTCAGGAACATTAAGTTTTTGTCCAAACCCAACAGTGGGAAGGAGGTTGACAGTGTAGACTTTTGGGGAAGGGGAAAGAAGAACATAAATTAAAGGCACTTAAAAGGTCATGTTAGCAAGTAGAGCTAGAGGTGCGGGATGAAATGACACTCTGTGACCCATTCTCAACTTGTCCCTGTTGTGCCCTCACCAGACCCGGCTGCACGTTTGTTGCATCGGGCCGAGGAGTGATTGACCATATACAATAATAGTACTTGTGTCTTTAAACAAAAACTAGCCGCAATAACAGTTTAAAGATCAGAAGAATGAAATGAGATTATTCAACAAGAAAATGAGGAAAGACGATGCTGGGAGATGTAATAATGTGAAAGCGAGTTCCAAAGAAACGTTTTTCGAAGTCTGTAACGTATTACTTTAGTTTTAGCCCAATTGTAAGTTGTCAGACCGTTTTATGGGCACTATAATGTCAGTGGAAGTGCATGTCTAACAAAATGATGGAGCGCATTACCAATTCTTTGATGACCACTGCAGAGAAACAATTAGACCCATTTGTCAATGTACCCTGGTGTCTAACAGTTTTAAAAAATAGATGGTTGTGGAAACGATTCAACATTTTAAGGATATTTCTCCTCTTACGCATTCCACTGAGTTATCAGTTTTTTGCTCACCCATGCCTTTTCATTAAGCTGATTGGAAAGTTAACAGTAAAAACACATTTTGCATGAAGAAATAGAAGATACTAGTAGCAGTTAGAAGGTCTGTTTAATGTTTTAAACAATTGATATTGTTATATATTTTAGGTATTGTGTAGGTTGGCCCAGGACATTAACATAGAATACTGTATACAGAATAGAGCTTCAAAATACGAAAATCTGCTTTGTAATAAAATAGTTTAGAGGTCTGAGTTAATACTATTCATGCCATCGTAAAGAATTCCTTTACAATGGATG